TGAGGAACTCACAAAGTAAGCTGATGAGACAGCGCATGCAAAAAGGATGATTTTCACCCACAGACCTGGGAAACCATGCAGGGATTAAATGACCTACTCAAGGTCATGGAGCAAACCTCAGGCAGAGGGGAGCTGAAGGCCAGCCCGGCTGGTAGCTTACAGAGCCCAGCCCTTGCATGCTTTGGGCCTGCGTTTGCTGACAGAGTGCAACCGCAAGGCATAGAGTGTACATGAGCAGCCAGACAGCTGGACGAATGCTCCAGCATTTGATACATACATGAGTCAGAGGTCATGGTCTCCTCAGGATATCCAAGGGCGCTGCTTTCCGTGTCTGAACATGGAGAAGCTTGTTTCTTGTATCGTATAGTAGGGAGTAAACGCACTTCTCAGTTCTCGCCAGCTGGTAAAGGCTTCAAAAAGAAAATACTGTAAAGTTAAAATATTTTAAAAGTTTCAACTGCCCTTTTTTTTTTTTTTCCCTCCTGCCTGCTGCCAGGAATGCAGCAGAGTGTTTCTCCGAGTGTTTTCCTTAGTTCATTTCTCCCTCCCTCTAACAAAACCCCTTTCCTAACTCCTGTTTGACCTGCACTTCTTTGTCCCACAGGTGTACGAACTCGATGGCACTCGGCATGACAAGTCTTGGTCCATGGCAGCGTACCAGGAAGTGACCAAGCAATTTGTGAAAGATCATCCTGACTTTGTTGGAGCAAAGATTATATATACAGCACACAGGTAGGGGCTGAACATGGCTAAGAGTGACGGGGCATAACCAGCTACGTTATAGTGGAGGCAGTGGTGGGCATGAGAGCAGCCTGGGCAGCTGGAGGAGGATCAGTGCTTTCTGAGTGATGGGCTGGAATTGCTACAGCTTGTTGGCAGTGCCTGCGTGGTTCGTCAGACTTTGGATACTGACTCCTGCAGCATTTCCTGGCACTTGTAGGAGGCTGAGGATAAGAAAACATCAAGCCTGCGTACGTGCAGAACAACCAGGTTTACTTGATGGCGTGTGCCTGGACAGGCAAGTGTCTATAAGAGCCTGGGCATAGGAATGAGTGAGGGGAAGGCTGCTTGTGTGTGTACGTGTCCAAGCCGTGTGTCCTCTCCTCCTGTGCCTGGACATACTCTCCCTCTTTGGAAGCTGAAGCAGTGACAGAAGTGCCCGAGTTTGGGCACTCTGTATTGCAAAGGCCTTTGCGGGACCCTGCAAATCCTCTTCTCCTGGCAGCCTTTGTATGGTATGTTCATGCTGCTGTTTGCGGGCAGATACAAGGCTGTTCTCCAAGTCAGCCAGATGCCATGAAGTCATGTGAGGTGATCCTGACCAAATATAACATACCTCTCAGCAGCACTTACTTGCTCCAGCTCCGCATGACGTGGTTTCCAGTTCAGGGCTGGCTTGCCTCTGGCCAGCCCGGATATGGACAGAGTGAGCTTGTGTCTGTCTGCAAAACACACTGTGATGTTCAAGTCTGACGGGCCTGGAAGAAACCTAACTTTAAAACTCTATTTAAATGCCCACTCTCCCACCTCCCAACGAAACAGCAGAGAGGGAAACAAATATTTAAACATTTTGTTCATGCAGTTCTATTCCCTGCTTCGTATGTGGGAAAGCCAACAAATCTTGGACAAGCATGCCTCAAGCTCAAATGACTGAATGGTCTAGTCATGCGGTGGCTGGGGGGGTCCTTTCATAGTATCATTTTTTTTTCTACGGCTGTTACTCTGTAGACGTGAAGCTGGTTGCTAGATTCGGGAGGAACTTGACTTCTGGAAATAACCCCAAACACTCCATTTCACAAGTTAAACAGACCCAAAGCAAGCAGGCCCATGGAAGTGATCCTCTGCACTGCTCTTTCTCTCTTGCTGTTTAGGAGGCTGAATGTTTCCCAGATAAAAGACGTCATCGTCACTGCCATGGCACTCCGAGCCCGCTTCCCAGACTTCCTGGCAGGCTTTGACCTGGTAACTGTGTTTCTTCCATGACTTTGAGTTAGCCTCTAGAGATGCAATGTAACCACTTATGTGTTCAGCATATGTTTCATACCAGAGCTGGATCCTCTGTTGTTCTACTGAATCTACTGAAATCTACTTAAATGAGTCAAAAAAAAAAAACTCTAACTGAGGATTTTGCTAAGGATAATTAACAAAAAGACTTAAGAGAATCAAGCACCTTCCCCTCTAAAAAACAACATCGTAATTTCAGTAAAGTTAGCACCATGTAGTGATTTCTAGCTGTGAGTCCCACGATCTTCCAGAGCACGGTCAAAAACACATTTTCTGTTTCTCCTCCCCAGGTAGGCAATGAGGATGAAGGTCATTCTTTATGGGAGCTGAAGGATGCCTTGACCATCCCATATTCCCTTGGGGTCAACTTGCCATACTTTTTCCATGCTGGGGAGACCGGTTAGTACGAGGACACAAGTCCCACATTATTATGTGTAACCTGGAGTTATGCAGCAGGAGAAATCACTGCTGATGTGACTCAGCCATTACCTCCTTAGAGCAGCATCCACCTCCCATCCACAGCAGCAGAATTCATCAGTCTTTAGTTTGCATTTTAAGATGAAAGAATGGCTGTGCCAACTACAATACCAAATACACTTACCAAAACAGACTGTTGCCCTTCCTTCCTGGGATAGTCTGCTTATTTGCAATATATTATTCCACCTATACAGGTGGGATTTAACCCACCATGTAAGACAGTTCTGTCTAACCACTGCATTGTGCTTATTGAATGGTGACATCTCCAGAGAAAATATCTACATGTGAATTAGTCCCCCTGGGCTCCCTTTATAGTCACGGATAGCCACGGGCACTTCCAAGTATGTTTCATCTTGTGGTAAAGTTGAGACTTGGAGCATGAGAAACCCTCTCACATTGCTGTTGATAACTTTATTAACAAAACCATCTAGCAGTTTGAGAAGATGTATTTCCTTACAGCACAGTAATGATTTTATCTGTCTTTCCTCAGACTGGCAGGGCACCTCTATAGACAATAATGTGCTGGATGCTCTGCTACTGAATACCAGCCGGATTGGCCATGGCCTTGCCCTCAATAAACACCCAGTAGCCAAAAATTTATCTCTGAAGAGGGATATTCCCATAGAAGTCTGTCCAATCTCCAACCAGGTATGTTGATAAAAGCTTAGGTCTTAAGTCAGGGGTTGGGACATCGGACCTGGATTTACCCTAGTAGCTAAGAGCAGCAGGGAGCTGGAGGGCTCCATGCTATGAATGTTACATTTTTTTGTTGCACTCAGGTGACTAACTTTTCTCTGCACATTAAACTGCAGCCTGTTGTGCAGACACAGTCTGTCTATGTGCAAGGTTTCTGACACCACTCAGCTCAAAAATATTTCAAATCCCTATTCAGAGAGGCCTGGGAAGTCAGACTTCTCCCTAGTGAAGACAACAAGGTCGAGAGCCAGAGAGGCACCTAGAGGCATAATGAAAAACAGTTTATATAGGCAGGGGGGCCAGAGGTCAAGAAGCTGGGATAGCAACTGGGAGTCCATTTGGTTTTGTAGAATTCATAATTCTTGCAACACAGCTGCATGGTGCACTTTGTTCCCTCGGCATAGCAGAAGGCCTGCTCTGGGCTGCAGATGTACCCATGTGGGCTTTGAGGGAGACATCCCTGATACTGGCCCCAGATACCTTGCATTTAGTGTCATGGTAAACTTGTAAGCTATTAAAAGACAGTACTTGAAGCACTTTCACTCAAATTATTATAAATAAGCCAAAGTTATTCAAATCACTGGCTTTGATTTAGGTGATTAACCTAAGAGACCAATCTCCCTGTATAGTCAGTAGAGAAAGGTAAGCTCCTCCTGCAGCAATTCAGAGCAGAGATGCTCTGAATATCCCTTGGAAGCTCTTCTTCCCTCATAACTAGCAGCTGACACAGGCAGCTGTAGGTCTAGGTGGTGGTGTGATGGGTGCCATTGTGCAGCCATGGGTAGAGCAATAACATGACTTGGTGTTGTCTCTCACGCTTTCCCACTGAGGTGCTGCTATTTGTGGCTGACTTGCGGACTCATCCCGCAGCCAACCTCATGGCTGAAGGACACCCCATTGTGATCAGCCCTGATGATCCCCCCATCTTTGGGGCAAAGGGTGTCTCCTATGACTTCTACGAGGTGTTCATGGCCATCGGAGGGGTGAGCGCTGACTTGAGGACCTTAAAGCAGCTTGCATTGAACTCTATAAAGTAAGTTCTTTACCTCCCTAGCTGTTGTAATACTAAGGGTAATACTACCTTGCTCTGGAAACTTATCTTACTTGGTTATTAGCTGCAGAGTATCTTCTGTCCTGTGGACTGGGCTGTTAATCCAAAGTCCACTTTGTGCATCTCCTCCAAGAGCAGAATATGGGATCCCCAGAATCTCTGGGGTCCGTGCCATAGAGAGCCTTTCTCTAACACAGTGTCTCAGTTTAGTCTCTTTTTCCATCCTGTATAAAGTTACTTCAAGCACCTCATCCTAGGAAGGGGAAGTTCCAAAAAAAAAAAACATGTTATGTTCCATATAAGAACTTTTTATATCACTTGTCTATTTCTGCTTGAATTTGATTTGCTCTGGTGCTTACCATAGCCCAGTGGACAAACAAAGGAAAACAGTTTGCCAGCATGTAATTTGGGTTTGTTTAACCACTCTTTCTGTTTATCTGGACAGCACCAAATGTCCCAAAATATTTTGGACATGGTTGTCCGATGTCTCCTGGCACATTCCTGGAGTTCTGTCTGTATGCCAAATCCCGTGCCACTCCTCACGTCAAACCCAAGCCCCCACACGGCTGGGGAGATGACAAACACTCATTCCCTCCTGATTTGGGGCAAGTCCAGGGACAATCTCAAAGCGACGGTAGCCTGTCCCTTTTGCACTAGCCACTGGGTGCTGGTCAGAGATCCCCCCAGCTAACACAGCCCGAGGTGGTCTGTCCTTGCAGTGCAGGACTTGGCAGCTGTTGGCAGGGCTGTGGTGTCCCCGGTCCCAGCATGAGCCCAGCGGTCAGGAGCTCAGGGCTCTTCACACTGGGTTACTCCGTGCGGTGTAGGAATGTCCTGTAAGGGTTAATCTGTGGCTGCTTCTGCCTTTTCATTGTGGCCACTGATCTTGAAATAGCTGCCCCTGCCTCCTCATCTCATACTGGCTTTTCTTCTCCTCACAGATACAGTGCCATGCTACCAGAAGAGAAAGCCAAGGCCAAAGAGGTCTGGCAGAAAAAATGGGACCAGTTCATAGCAGATTTCTCTGACAGCTTTTTGAGGGAGCTATAGAAGGGAGGAGAGCCATCTCAGAAAGCAACTGGCAAGTCAGAGTGAGCCAGGCTTATTGCTAATGCAGAGAGTGCTTCTTCCACGGGGCTTGAGCGGACGAGCCTGTAAGTCTCACTTGGGAATGGATGATTCTTGTAAAGTAGACTTAATGCTAAGACTGAGCTGTGCTACACTGCAGAAGTCATTGACTGCAGGTAAAATGCAGTCATGAGCCGTTATAACGGCAGTAACAACAACAACAAAATGCCCCGCTCAAAATGACATAGTCAAAACAGTTAGAAATTGCCAGTGACCAAATCCCAACATCCTTGTTCAGGGAAAACATGGTTTCTAATTAGAGGTAGTGGGAGATTGCCAACACGAGGATCTCTGAATTTTGCCTTATCATTACAAAACGCAGACCTTGTCCGGAAACAGCTAAGACAAACATCGAGCCATTTGGGCCACTGACCTTCAGGAGAGCAAGGACTGAAAATGACTCTTGTTATGTTTAACCCTGGGCCTGCTGCCAAAATAGCACTGCTAGGTCGAAGAACCAGTCATAGGCCTGACGTCTGCTATTTCAGGACTTACCAGTGCTGCAAACAAGTTGATGGAACTGTACAAATGCTCCCAGAACGTTTAAGCTTGCTCACACGGGGATCACAAAACTAAAAAGAAGTGCCTCAGTTGCTGACAGGTTTTTTCAGGCAGAGCCCTTTTCTGTCCTCAGGTCGCACGGAAACATCTTTCAACTAAGAAGGAAAAAAAACACACACACACACACACACACAAAACACCCTGACTTCCCAAGCCCAGCTTAATTAAAACTCTGATCCTGCACAAGGACATGTTAATACAGGCCTATGCATTTAAAGGAAGCTCCTTTTTGTTTCCGGGGGTTCCACTGTGGGCCTGTGTTGCCTAAATCAGAGCAGAGATGTGCCCTTGTTCAGCCTATGTCCATATCAGACATATCTTCACCTTGGAAGAGCTACTCTCATGCTTTTGATATCCGGTATTTTCACAAGGATATCTGTAGCTACCAGTTCTTTGGCAGAAAGGTATTGTGGCAACTACACAATAAGTAGTATTGAGACAAGCAGATTCCCTTGCTTAGCAACATCAGAAATATTGGGGAAAGGAATAGTTTCAGGATGACTGCTTTGTATAAGGGAGATTCTAAAAAATCTTAACCGGGGTGCTAAGCAACTTCAGCACAAATGCTGAAAGGCCACATAGCCCAACTATGCAGCCAGGATCAGCTAGTTTCTCTCTTGGCTTCAGGGGGATCACACTGGTTTGCCTCAGCTGAGGGGGCTGCCACGGACTATTTACACTTTTTGCCACTGAGATTCCTCCCTCCTCAGAGCCTATGACTTGCTCTGTCTGTCATTGCTTGATCTGAACAGGTCAGACTAATCATCAGTCTTTACATTTTCTGCTAATTGTTTGGAGCTGCCTGGCCATAGTGTTTATTTCCACTGCCCTCAGGTAAAACACCGGAGTGGGACAAAAGACCACTTACTAAAGAAGCTGATCAAGCTGCACAGCCTGTGCCTCCCTTGCATGCAAAGTATTAATCTGCCCACATTTCATACACTGCAAGTTTACATCTAGCTATCTCAGGCAAAAACAAACCAAAGCCACAACAAACTGAAGGCATCTGGATTGAAGAACACAAACCCGCAGAAAAACAAACCACAGAAAGCAAAAAAAGTGGGAACCCACTCACACACTTTGCTAACCAAGCGAGTTTAGCTCCTCACACCACTACCCCTTCCAGCAACGGCTAGTGCCACTCCAGCTCTCTGCCCACAGGACCCACACCTTCCTCTGAAGCCCAGCAGCTGCTCCTGCCAGGTTAGCCCTTCTCGGTCTCCATGCAGAGCTGGTGGTGGGAAGGACCTTTATCCCGGAGGAGGAGCCAAGGAGGAGCACCTTCTCCTCTGTGGGGGCCGCATACAGGGCTCAAAGTCAAGTCCTCGAGGTTGCCCTTGCTTGGAGTCAGATTATTAGTGCTGACTGGAGCAATGTCTTTTCTTTTATGCTGATGGGTTGCAAATAGGTGGAACAACTGCTAACAAGTGACATAAAAGCAAGTCCCTCGGAGCCCCCTGGTATTTCAGCTTGCTCCATGTTGCTGGAGGAAGATCTCTTATTTGCTATGAGCTGGTCCTCCCTTTAGCGAGCCTCTCTGCCGCACGGTGAAGCTAATCGCTAGAGACTGTGTGTGGGAGGAGCTGAGGTCCTTAGCACAGGTTTACCCACCGCTATTCCTTTCCTACTTTAGTAAGCAGGAAAGGTTTTAGCTCTTAGAGTATTGACCTGTATGCTTCCTGCACGTATTTTCTTGGGGGCTGAACCACTGATGGCCTTTTGGTTACCTGTATTTCTCCCCCGTCACTACCAGCAAAGCAGGGTCAGCTCTGCTGGTTGCTGAACACTTGCTACGACCAGCTTGCCTGTTTTGTCTGTATGGTGCTCACCTTCCTATGAAGAGCCTCCTGTGCATTGGGTCACCGCCGTACTTTGCAACAGGAACTGTGATGTGTTGTTCCCCAACGTCTGGAGCCCACCAGGACGATGCTGCTCAGGACAGCAGCACAGCAGCCACTGCGGGGTTTCAAGCTGGGCAAGTCTGGGATGATCACAAATTCCTCAAATGGAGCCCTCAGAAGGGTAAAGCATGGCCCTCACCAGCCTACATTTGGATTTGTGACTAGCCTAGGGATTCCTTTCTCCAGAAGAAATCTGTGTTAGGGTTTGGTCAGATAGCAGAAGCTTTCTTATCCCAATCACATCTATTTAAATGTGACCTTGAATTGAATGGAGGCTCTTGGTTCTAGTGGAACCTCATTCTTTCTATCTCCTTGAACAGGTCATTGCCACGTATGATGACTGGGAATCCCAGGTCAATCCCTCTGGCAATAGATGAGCGTTACCTCTTTTAGGGCCTTCAAGAGATAGATAGGAGTAGGGCTGGACTGCTTTGTTTCTGGGGATCAACCTTTAGAGTGTGCTCTTTTTTCAGGGAAGGGTATGAATTGTAAAACCTAGACTGAATCGGTCTGCCTGTAACCACAGGAGTACCAAAACATAGGAATTTAGTCTGCACCACAGCAGTTAAAAAAGATCAATCCATTCATATGTCTCTAAAGCTTAGGAGAAAATTGGCTATGGGACTTGGCTGGGACTCAGCTACTCAGCTCCCAGCACTTGCAGTAACATTTAAAGGATTTTGCTGCCAGTCCATCTTCTTACCCACAGTACTTTGGTTCCCTGTTCCCTTGTGATACAAATACATGATCTATAATGCTCTCTCGTCTGTTTCTTTCAATATATATTTCAATCTCTAAACCTCTTTCTATTGCAGGGTTTTTTTTCTCCCCTTTTTTTGTTAAAAAGGACTGTGATATCTGTATTTTATGCGGGGTTTTATGCTGGTATGTGCAGAGCGATGTTTCACATCACTCAAGCTGGAGTACAATTATGAGCGAGTCTGCAATGTCTTCACAGCATGAAGCAAAGGGCAGTTTGATCCATGGGGCTAGCGCACCGTGCAGACAAATCTGAGCCGCACGGCTCTGCGCGGCGCAGGTCTCCCAGCTCTCCCCCTCTCCAGCCCACACTAAAGCTGCATCCATCTCTGGGACATATCGTTGCATAGAGATAGCCCGATAGACGTGTTTTGCCTGTGCTATCTCCTCCTACTACAGCTGGGTACCACTGCTGTGGCACCTACAGCATGGAGCAGAAGAAGCAACCAAAGGTCCATTTACCTGCTTCTGGCATGAACCTAATAGGCAATGAGGAGAGCACAAACACTATGATGTGACCAGCCCATCCTTCGCAAAGCTGCCAAGTGCTTTGGGGAGCATCAGCGAGCTGCACGGCACAGCTTGAAGGCACTTTGCCCCGAGTACTAATGGCAAATATCGGGAAGAAAGGGCCGACAATAGAACGTAAAAACCTGAGATGAAGGAGGTGTTTGGATGAGCAGAGCTAGAAGTAGCCACAGGGGTGATGAGACGTGGGGAGCTTGCATTGAGCAGGACAGAGATAACGTGGCTGAAACAGCCTGCCTTCACTATCCATCCAGTCTCAGGAGCAAGGAAGGAGAGCAGAAAATCCGAGGAAGTTTCTGTACACTTATTCCAAGCAGTCATATGGATATAGCAAGTCCTACACCTGTTATTTCCCCTATCAGTCTTGTCCCATGTATCTTCAGGTTCATTTTGTTTAAAGGGGAAGCGGATAGAGCTTTGCCAGTAGCATACCATGTCACGAATCTATTGGTGTTTTCTTGCACAGCAGCTTAGACTGCCTTTGGGGCATTTTAATAAATGAAATGTTCCTCCCCATCACTTACTGGCAGGAAACAGCTGACCCAGCACTAGTAGTTGCTGTCAAAAATTATGCCAATGCATGCAGAGATAAATTCAGGGAGAGAAATAAAATGGTTGGTAGGTCCAAATGAGCAGCTGAACCTAAGTTTCACATGAGCCTCCATCACAATAGTAAAAATAAGCAGATGCCAAATCCTAAGCAAAGCTGCCTGTCTGGCCCTAAAAAACACAGAACTGTAGAGGTATTTTCCATTGGTTCCCACTGCTCAGCCTGCTTCAGGTTTTTGTCCTATAAGTCTGTGAATTCGTCTCTTCACAGGTAGAAGAAGGACATTTCTTTGGCCAGAGATTTGTAGCCCTAATTGGCCAAATACATAATTCTTTTCTTTAAAGCCTTGTAGCAGTTGCAATTATGGCAAGTGGATCAAGTGTTTCCTGTCTACTGAGGGACAGGCAGGTGAAGGGTCTGGTTCTCAATTCTACCAGCTTGTCATTTTTATCAGGCTGTGTCCTCCCCCTTGGTCATTACAGGATAAGAAAGGCATTTTACTGTATTTTCTCAACCTTTAGCTTGTCCGTCATTTCCTTGAGCAAGCTGCTGTGGAGAAAGAGAGAAACTGGAGCGGGGGGTTGGTACAGGCCAGCAGAGCCTCAATGGTTGGAAGGGAGACTGAAGGTATTGCTGCTTTCAAGGGGGATGTTAGAAGGTCAAGAGAGGGGGTGTGATGACAGGGCTAAGAGTCCAGGGAAAACACAGCTGCAAAGTTTACATAGGAACCCACAGGAGAAGGCTGTGGGTAACTGATTGTTTTGCTTGTGTTTAAAGCTAGCTATGAAAAGAAGGGAAAAAAAGCCTTCAAGTACTGTATAAATGTAGAAAAAAGACTCTCCTGTGGGCTGGTGTGATCGGGGACAAACAAACATCTCCGTTGCACTGGGGTGTTATGGGATATGGCAATTACCAGATGTACATGTAGAGGAATTGTAAGGTCCACCTATAACATGCAAAACAAGAAGCTCCTAGTGGAGCCAGTGAGAAAGTCTCAGCTCTTCAGGGGACAATTACGCTACCAGACATTTAGCACAGTGATGAGGGGGTTCCAGTTCAGGGCTGCTGGTCTCGGGTGGGCCGAATTTCAGCAGCCAAACCAGGAACTTTAGGGCAGCGCCTGGCAGCCATGCTGCTGCCAGCAGGGCAGGTTCAGCTTGCGTCCGGCTGCTGGCAAACACCCTCTGCGGTGGTTTAAAAATAAACACTTCAGCCTGTTGGACAACCTTCCTTGTAAAAATAAATACAGCATCCCTGCCAGCCTCCCGGGAACACTCGCAGGGACTGGCTGAGGCACACACGCCTTCGAAGGCGGCTACCCCAGCCAGAAGCGCGGCTCCCCTCCCCACCCTCGGGAGGTGGCAGGCACCAAATCTGAAGGGCACCAGATCCCCTTCGGAGCCCAGGCCTCCATGCCGGTCCCAAAAAAAGCGCTCGCAGCCCGCGGGACGGGCGGCCCGCGGCCCCCGCCACCCCCAAGATGCCGGCACGAGAACCCGAGCCCGCAAGCGGCCGTATCGCTACACACCATAAACCCCTCTTAGCTGTAACCAGAGCAAATCACAGCAAATGGATATATATTTTTTTCCCTCTCTGCCAGAAATAACTAGCTTGGTGGGTAGTTGAGAAACATTTGAAGTTTTTTGTTTGTTTGTTTGTAATTTTAGAGAGTCTGTGGTTCTCTCTCTGACCTTATTTTCTTTGGCAGCCAAGGGAAACAAAGTCTTCTAGATGGAAGGCCCCAGTCTGTACGTGGGTGTGTAATCAGCTAAGAGGTATATTTAAGAGTAGCAGTAATTGGCTCAGTTGTTTTACTGGAAGAAGGTCTTGAGCCCGATTCCACAACAGCCTGCTGTGAGGCTGCTACGACTGCATCCCCCAAGCAGCATCTCTGAGGTCAGCATCAATTCTGCAGGAACTGCAAACTCTTCAAAGAAATAAAAGTGATCTTGGCAGGTTGTAGAAATGATGTAAAATAAATGGTAGGCAATTCAGTAGCGGCAAGGGCCCTTAAGGAAGAATAACCATCTAGACATATCTAACCACTAAGACAAACGTATAACCTTTTGTTGCTGATGCTGTAATAGCTCCACAGAAAGGGCCCTGGGAGTTAAAAGTGGGTCAAAAATGAATTAGCATCGCAGTTCATGGAAACAACGACAAGGAAAACAAATAATCACATTGGGATGCCTGGAGTCATATATGCCAAACCTGTCTTTATTAAGGAAGTCAGGAGATGATAAGCCTATTCAGAAGGTAAACAAACATTGTTTCCTCTCTGTGGTCATTAAATAAACTTTTAGCTCAATTTAGCACTAGAAAAACCTCAGCAAAATCCTGTATGAAGATTGTGCCTCAGCGTTAAGAAAAAGAAGGGAACCACTGGAACAGAGTGCATCACAGAGGACAAATAATGAGCAGAGTTGTGGAAAACACGGTGATCTGTAGAATAAAAGCCTGTGGTTTGTATTGGAAAAACACTGAGTGAAGACATGGCAGTTTGCATGGGTGTAAAAAAACTGCTGTTAAGTCGCTCTGCATGTCCACTGAATTCAGTAGGGTAAATTGTCATAAGCTTGAAGTACAGTGCGATCCTGAGACGTGAAACCTTTGTGAGGGCCACGCAGAACTGGAAAATGTTCCCTAATGAAATTACCAGTCCCCACTACTGATATGTTTTGGGAAGTGGTTAATTAAACCTCTGTAAGGACCTGTGTAATTCACGTGGAGGGGTCTGAGCCTCCACCTCTCTTCCAGCCTCGAGCTCTCCTTGTTAGTGATCCGCACAGCTTTCCCCAAAAAAAGAAAAGGGAAGTGTGCTTAACGAAGATGACAATAGGTTTTAGAGAAAAGCGTGAGAGCACCCCAAGGACCGCCTTGGAGTGAATTCTTACAAAACACACCATTATCAGCATCCTTCTCTCTGTGCTGTGCCCCTGACACACAAATCAGTAGCTTTCAGGAAACTTTCAAGCGCTGCCTGGTGAATCCCTAGAGTGCCGAGGGCTCATTTTCTGCCAAGGGGCCAAGATGGGCCGCTAAGGACGAGGACGTCGTGACCCACATGTTATTGCCCACTGCAATGCGCCTCGCTGGGGCCTGATGCCCGCGGGCGGCTACAGAGCGGAGGGCCCCGTGAAAGGCGCCGTCCCCTCCGCTGCCGGCGCTGCCCCTCTCTCCC